CTTGTCCACTCCCCTCAGGGGACCCAGGGGAGGGTGCAGGGTTTTGGCTCCTGGCAAATCAGCCATCATCTCCCCCTACTATACAAACATCTGCCAAGTAGCCCTGTCTTTTCTTGCCCCCAGGTCTTTGACCCCTTCCGCTTTGACCCAGAAAACATCAAAGGGAGGTCAGCTGTGGCTTTTGTTCCCTTCTCCGCGGGGCCCAGGTGAAGACAGCAGCCATCTGAGATGGGGGTGGAGAGGTGGGGGGAGGGGTCTGGGGGTGAAATTCCAGCTTAACTCTGGGGGCCAGGAAGGGGGAAAACTTTAAGATGGTCGCTTTCTCTCCACTCCCCCCAGGCATTGTGGTAAGGGTCTGGGGAATGGTGGTGGGCTCAAGGAAGGGTTCATGGTGTGCTGAGGGGACCCGCTCCCCTGTCTACTGGTCTGAGTTCAGCACTGGAGAGTGGACTAGGGTCTGGAGATATGCAAGCCCACATAGGGTTCCAGGCATGGTTAGCTTCTTTATACTATGGGTGGAAATGGGGGTTGTGGGCCAGATACCAGGCACTTTGGGGTCCGGGTGAGGGTTCCAGGTGCAGTCAAAGCCCCCACTCCCGCCCACAGGAACTGTATCGGGCAGACATTCGCCATGACTGAGATGAAGGTGGTCCTAGCGCTCACGCTACTGCGGTTCCGCGTCCTGCCAGACAAGGAGGAGCCTCGCAGGAAGCCAGAGCTGATCCTGCGTTCAGAGGGTGGACTTTGGCTGCGGGTGGAGCCACTGAGCGCAGGCCAGCAATGACCCATCACCTTCTTACCTGGGATCCATCGTGACCCTAGACACCTCTAGATTCCCAGAAATAAAACTGTGCTTGTCATTTCTGTTCCAGTCTCATCAATGGCTAGCAGGGGCGCCTGGGGCCTGGGAGGATCCAGGCGGGTGGGCGTGGCTGTGAACCTCGGAGGTGGGGGAAGGAGGGAGGGGAGGGGGAATGGGGGCAGGTATAGTTATGAAAGCTGGAGCTCCATCTTGGATCGTGAGGACAAGACTACTCCTTAGGGAAGGTGGAGCAGAGAGCTAGATGTAGTCAGGATCAGATGTCCCTGGACCCACCATTCCATCCCATTCCAGTCTGCCATTTACTAGCTGTTTGGTTTGGGGAAAATCATATCACTCTCTAAGCCTCAGTATCTTTATTACATAACAGTAGCCACTTCATTGCCATGTTGTGAAGATTTATAAACAAGGGTGTGCAGATGACTGACAGTATCTGGTAAGCATCCTCAGTAAGTGTTCATTTTCTCCCTTTGTTTTGCATCATTTTCTCAAACTTAACATGTTTTAAAGTTACATTTAAGTTTTAGGACTTATGAGAACCTGCTGTTGAAGAAAACTGTCATTAGAAGATTCAGTAAATTCTGAATCTCCATAATTACATCTGTTACATAGTTACAAGCTGCTTTGATGCGACGCTAGTCTGAAGCTAGGAGACGAAAAAAAATTTCCCCTCAGGGGAGCATGACCCAGGATTTCGTATTCATCTAGATGTTCTAGGAAGTGGGGGTCAAGAGGGCCCACAACAGCACAAGAGTGAGAGGGGTGAAGGGGGCAGGCGTGGGGCCGTTTCCTTCAGCACCTGGGACAGCGGCTGCTCCAAGACTAGCCCCCCCTCAGGCTGTCAGGTGTCCTGGGATAGGGTCAGTCTCAGACCCCTTCAGGGGCTAGAAGATTCACTGGTTGCAAAATAAGAAAGAAATATTGTAAAAATGATATAAGTAAGTATTTAACACACTCTAAGCTGAAAATTGCATATGTTTTTCTTTTTCTTGGGTTCTTTAAAACGTTTTTCTTTTTCCACCAATGATACCCTGTCATAGAAGGAACTATAGATAAGAAAAAGTAACAAATAAAAATCATATCCATAATCTAAACATGTCAAAGTAATCTCCATTCATATTCTCTCGCATATTCTGCTAAATTTAAAATTCTATGTATTCCTTGTTGTTGTTGCTGCTCGGTTGCCCAGCTGTGTCCAGCTCTTTGTGACCCCATGGGCCGCAGCACATGTAATCCTTATAGCAGTAAAAATTTGACCTTGTATCTAAATGTATTACATTTACAGGTAATCTCCTTCTTTTTTAAACTTCTTCTTAATAATTCTATTTTACTGACTAAGACGGCTTCTTCCGTGGCTCAGCAGTAAAGAATCCACCTGCCAATGCAGGAGACACAGCTGTGATCCCTGGAGGAGGGATCAACCCACTCTAGTATTCTTGCCTGAAAAATTCCACGGATGGAGGAGCCTGACGGATAAAGTCCCTGGGGGTCTCGAAAAGTCAGATATGACTGAAGCAACTGAATATGGCCCAGCACTAAGAAGCACATGGAAATGTACCCAACATCATTAATTGCTAGGGAAATGCAAATCAATGCAACAATGTGATATCAGGTCACACTCACTAAGATGACAAGACTATAAAACAATGGAAAATAACAAGCGTTGGTGAGGATGTGGCCATTGGAATCCTCATACATTGCTGTTGAGAATGCAAAATGGTGTGGCAACTGTGCAAAATTGTCTGGTGTTTTTCCTCAATAAATTAAACCTCTTGTCCAACTCTTTGTGACCCCATGGACTGTATCTCACCAGGGTCATCTGTGCATGGAATTCTCCAGGCAAGAATACTGGAGTGGGTTGCAATTTCCTTCTCCACGTGATCTTTCTGACCCAGGGATTGAACTCAGATCTCCTGCATTGCAGGAATACTCTTTACTGACTAAGCTACAGGGAAGACCTCAAATTAAACCTAGAATTACCAATTGACCCTGCCATCCTACACCTAGGAATGTACCCCCAAAGAATTGAAAACAGGTGCTTAAACAAAATGTTGTACACAACTCTTCACAGTGGCACCATCCACAGTTGCTGAAAGTTCAACTTTGGGAAGCAATTCAAATTTCCATTAACAGAAAACTGAATAAATAAAATGAGATATATCCATAACAAGAAATATTATTGGGTCATAAAAAGAAATGAAGCAAAGATTTCCTTGGCAGCTCAGTGGTTAAGACTCCGTGCTTCCAATGCAGGAGGTGTGAGATTGATCCCTGGTTGGGAAACTAAGCCATGTGCCATGGCAAAAAAAATTGTTTAAAAAAAAAGGAATGAAACACTACAATGCGAATGAACTTTGAAAACAGGCTAAGTGAAAGGAGTCGGACACAAAAGGTCACATATTGTATGATTCCATTTATATGAAATGTACAGAATAGGTTAATCCATAGAGATAGATCTAGGAGCTGGGGGAGGAAGCAGAGAGTGACTGCTAATGGGTACAGGTCTCATTTTCTGATGACAAAAATACCCTGGAACTAGATAAAGGAGAGGTGGTGGTTGCACAACACGGTGAATGTACTAGAGGCATGGATTTGAATACTTCTAATGTTATGAATTTTGTGAATGTATGAATTTTATGTAAGTTTACCTCAATCAAAAATGTTATTTTATCTTCCATTTTTCTTGTAATCTGGATTTTTCATATACTAATACATCATGAACATCTTTCCACAATAGACAGTCATCATCTTGGCGGTCTTTAAAATTTTTTAATATTAAATATTCAAGCCACTCTTTATTTTTGATCTCTTTATGAATTCTCTCTATGCACTTTTATGGCTTGACATTATCACTACCAGCTGTAAATTGAGTTACTCTTAATCACATAGCTTTTGGTGTAGAAATTTTATTTCTATAGCAATATTTGCACATATATTCATGTAAGATGTGGATGTGTTTAAGCACTTTTCATACAGCATGTAAGGCTTGGTGACTCCACAGACATTGATGTTTTTGGTCCTATTAACAGAGGTAGACCACTGGAAGGCAGAAGGCAACGACACTTCAACTCCCCCAGGTAAACACCAATTTCACCTCACGTCAACCTTATGGATTGGAGAGATTGAATCACCAGCTCAAGGTCATTCAATTGATGAGTGACCTTGTAAGTGAGGGGTCCATTCAGTCAGCTTGGCTTCAAATGTCATGCCTCACCTCCCAGGGAAGTGATTTCAAGGTGTGTCTCAGCTCCACATGCATCAGGTCACCTGGAGAACACCTGTAGGCCTATCAGATGAGATTCTGCTGGGTGGTGCCTAACTTTTTTAATGCAATATTATTGACAGGGAATTCGTTCACTCGTGTAGAAAATAAGATGCTCAGTGAAATACATTGGTCTTCCATATGATGTTCATTTTCCCAGTTTTTTCATCTATACTTTTTGTATAGCACTTTTTTCACAGTGCGTGCATTGCATGTTCAGTTGCTTTAGTCATGTCCGATTCTTTCCAACCCCAAGGACTGTAACCACCAGGCTCCTCTGTCCCTGGGATTTTCTGGGCAAGAATGGGTTGCCATTTCCTCCTCCAGGGCATCTTCCCAACCCAGGGGTTGAACCCAAGTCTCCTGCATTGGCAAGCAGATTCTTTACCACTGAGCCACCTGGAAAGCCCCTCATTTCACAGTATATTTATGCAAATAATATATATGCTTAGTTACCCTCAGCTTCTCTTAAAATTGTATGTAAATTTACAAAATTTACAAAAAGTAAAGTTTGCTCTATTTGGTGTACAGTTCTGAGTTTTGAAATGTCTAGAGTCCTATAACCACCACTAATATGGTTTAAAATCTTTTCACCCAAACTCCTGCCAAATATGTAGGACAATCTGGGAGCCATGTCCAGTCATGTTGGGGCATATTGTATCACGTTGGGGTGTATCTAAGCTCACAAGGTGGTATCTGTGTGTTCTGCCTTTGCTTCATTCTGTCCTGCAGCCTCGTCTGGGAGGACCAGGTCTGGTCCTCCCTCCTCCCATTACCCCTCCTTCTAGCTTCCTGTGCTCTTAACCCCATTCCTGCCATGCTGGGCTTGGAGGGGGAATGCAGATTCCTGGCTGGGAGCCTCCAATCCGCACCAAAATTCCCTCCCCCCACTCCTACCCCCGGCCCTTGATTGTCTTCATGTCAGCTGCCATTGCACCAAAGGGCATGCTTTTCTACAACGCTCTGAAGCCCTGGCTAGGTGAGTAATTGTGAGTTAAGGGGGTTGGGGATGACCCTGGGGACCCAGGGGAAGGTCTTCCTTTGCCCACTCCCCGTGGCTGTCTCTGCTAGGGGATGGGCTCCTGCTGAGTGCTGGTGACAAGTGGAGCAGGCACTGTCACATGCTGACACCCGCTTTCCACTTCAACATCCTGAAGCCCTATATGAAGATTTTCACCAAGAGCGCAGAGATCATGCACGTGAGTCTCTTGAACCCAAGGTTCCAGCTGGAGTCTTGGGGATAACAGGGACTCATCAATGTCTTGTCTGGAATCTGACTCTTGTGGGTGGCTTTAAGGCCATGTCTCTTTCTTTCTGAGCCTTGGTTTCCACGACTGAAAAATGAGGATTATGTGATTCCCTACTTTGTAGGGTGGCCAAGATGATGTAATGGAGTCATGTTCCTGGAACATGGTAGGTGCTCAGAAGGTGTTAGTTTCTATGTTTCCCTCACAGAAGGCTTGAAATCTTGAGACATGGTTGATGATAATGATGAATATCATGTAGTCATTATTCCAGAGTAACAAATCACTTGGAAACAATAAGTGCTTAGTATTGACAAGTTTCTGAGTCAGTAGGCTGGTTCTTCTGGACATGGATGGGGCCACTCATGTATCTGTGATGAGCTGGGGTGTCAGGTGGTCTGCCGGAGGTCAGACAGGAAGACTTACTGATCTGAGGTCAGTCCTCTCTCATCTTTGTGGCTTGGCTGACTGAAGATTGATCTCAGATGACCTCAGCTGAGACAACTGGATGTCCTTTCATGTGATTCCCTCCCTTTAGGCTTGCTCACATGGCAGAAGCAAGGTTCCAACAGACTGAAAGTAAGCTGCAATTCTCCTTGGGGTCTAGGTTTGGGGTGACTACTTCATCATTTTCACCAGTCTATTGGCCAAAGCAGGTCAAAAACCAGCTCAGAATCCAAGGATAGTGAAAGAGGCCCCGCCTCCTAAAAGAAGTTACTGAAAAATTGCACTGTGAAGGGTTTGGATATATATATGTGGGAATGAAGAACTGGAGGTCAGGCTTTTGTGAAGTGCCTGGGATTTTTTACCATACCTGCAAACTGACAAGAGAGCTTGTTACTGTTTCATGGATTCTGCCAGTAGACATGAAACTCCTGGGTGAGAGACAGAGGACAATTTATTACCCTTAGAAGGCAACAACATGTGTTTCTCATTGGTTTGCATTCATCTTCCAAGTCACTATATCTCATGCAGGTTACGAGCGGTGGGCTTTGATATATGCCTACTCATGTAGTATGCTGATGTATATGCCTGCTATGTTGTATTATGGTGGGGTGAGGGAGAGTTAAGAGAAACTGTGACTTTTATATCAATTAGAAGCAATTCCCCCTAATACCTTTCCAGGAGGAGACATTGCCTCACTCCTCAAGGTTGTTTGCTAAAAACACAACTCTGTGAAATGGCCCAGGTAAAGAATATCAGAGTCTTGCTTTTTCTCTCTCTCTCTCTCTTTTTTTTTTTTTTTTTTTTGGCATACGAAGCAAAAAAGTACAAATGTACACAGGACCCATGGAGGACTACCTCTCTCAACATAGGGGACCTTTCCCTCATCAATTTCTAACAATGAAGATGATGAGGTCTGACATTTGCTGTGCAGTTACTTTACTCAGTAAGCTGACCAACAGTGCACAAAATATAGTGGGAGGAACCAAAGTTATATTAATAGCAGGTCTCCTGACTCCAAGGCAGGGGACTTCATGCCTTAATGTAACAACTTCTACTCCCACTCAAGGCTGGTCATCCATGAAGATAGGAGCCTAGGACCAGCAGGCAGGGTCTGGAGAGTGCGCCTGGTGTTTGGGGTTAGGGAGGAGGAAGTTTCCAACCTCAGCATGTCCCCTTCTCTGTCCAGCCCAAATGATAGCATCTGAGTAAAAAGGGCCACACCCATCTGGACATGTTTGAACACACCAGCCTCATGACCCTGGACAGTCTGCAGAAAGGCATCTTCAGTTTCGACAGCAATTGCCAGGAGGGAGTGCTCAGCCCAGGGCCTGGGAATATGAGCCCTAGACCCAAAGGAGTAAATGAGTGAGACTGAGGTGGACAATCAGAAAAGCCTTCCTGGAGGAGATGGGTCAAACTGGACATTGAAAGACAGGAAAAGGGAAAGAGAAACAGCAAACCTTACAGGTAGGCAGAAGTGTTTAATAAATGCTAGGAGGTTAGAATGAGCAAAATAAGTGCAAAGTAAGGAGACAAATTGGGTATGAGGTGGAAGGAATGTCTTAAGAACATTCTGAAGTCAGACAGAGGATATGAACTATATCTGAGGTTCCCTAGGAGCCGTAGAAGGTGTATGAGCAGATGAGGATCGAGGTCAAAGGTGAACTTGGACATCTGACTGGAGAGAAGACTGACCACAATGCAGACACTGGATGATGTTGACAACTGGAGGTAAGGAGACTAGGGAAGGCATTATCTGCATTGATCAGCTGGGAGAGGATAAGGTCTGAGCCAAGTGGACAGTATGGGGAAGGAGAGGGGGACTGAAACTGGGTGAGAGAGAAAGGAGAGAAGCCTGATGTCTAAGCTGTGCTCTGGGTGCCTGGGGCATGGAGGCAGCTCACGGAGATGGGATGTGGGTTGAGAAGAGTCTGAAGAGTCACATCTCCTGGCTCATCCCCACATTGTATCTGTGAGCCATCTGTTCTTGGAGCCTCAGTTTCCTGATGGGAGGTAGCCCCCAGCTTCTGGGCTTCTGGTGTTTTAAGCGGTGGCTTCCCTTCCTGCTCTCATCCTTCAGGAAGCCCAGTGAATATATCGCCACCTTCTTGGAGCTCAGTGCGCTTGTGGCTAAACGGCACTGGCAGATCTTCCTGCACATGGACTTCCTGGGCTTCCTCACCCCAGATGGGCGGCGCTTCCTCAGGACTTGCCCTTGTGCATGGCTGCACAGATGCCGTCACCCAGGAGCAGTGCCAGCCCCTCCTCAGGGGCAGTATCGATGACTTCCTCAAGGTCAAGGTGAAGACCAAGACTTTGGACTTCATTGATGTGCTCCTGCTGACCAAGGTAGGCTGCTGTGGGTTCTGAGTTCAAGTAGAATGAACTTTGATCTGATCAGAGATCTTGGATGGGATGCATAGGGTACTGGGGAGCCACAGGAGGTGTTGAGGAAGGGAGAAATGGGTCATGGATATGTTTTAGACATGACCATGTGAAACTGGTCTGCAGGGGAGTGCTAAGTCTGAAACTGTGAAGGTCTGAGATTTTACTCTACTCCCAAACTAATAAGTTATCTACCTCTGTGGTAGATGCACATGTACACATACATGCATACATGGACTTCCCACATGGCTCAGTGGTAAAGAATCCACCTGCAATGCAGGAGCTGCAGGAGGCATGGCTTCAATCCCTGGGTCAGGAATACCCCCTGGAGGAGGAAATGGCAACCCACTCCAGTATTCTTGCTAGGATAATCCCATGGAGAGAGGAGCCTGGTGGGCTACAGTGCATGGTGTCACAAAGAGTTGAACAGGATTGTGTGACTGAGCATGCATGCATACATATATAAATACACATATATGTGTATGTGTATACACACAGAGAGAGAGAGAAGGAAGCCTGGATCAGAGCAACACATTTATTTCTCATAGTAGAAACAGTAGTCAGAGTAGAGTTGTAGCTCAGGTTCCCCATCCCCAAATTCCTTTGAGGGCACCATGATGCTTTTACCTGTACATGCAATCATAGTTGCATCACAGAACAGGATTTTAAAATTTGGACCTTATATAGGACAGCTGATATATCTTCTCCTTCTTCCCTTCTTCCCCTTTCTGTTCACCCTAGTGGGTGCTCAGCTGGCCAAGAATCTGCCTGCAATGTGGGAGACCTGGGTTTGATCCCTGAGTTGGGATGTTCCCCTGGAGAAGGGAAAGGCTATCCACTCCAGTATTCTGGCCTAGAGAATTCCATGGACTATTTGTGACCCCATGGACTGTATAGTCCAAGGAGTTGGACACAACTGAGTGACTTTCACTTTCTCTTTAGAGAGTGAGGGGAAAGGAAATAGAGAAAGGGGAGAGAGAGATGGAGAGAGAGAAATAGGGGAGAGGAAGGGAGGGAGAGAGGTTGTTCTGGAACTTAAATCCTTTTCAGTGAGAAGGCAGTTTATAGGTTCTATAGGTTTCTAATCCATCTCTTCCATCCAGGAGACTAAAGAATCTCTGGATTTACTATCCTAGCCTGTAAGCAAATGGCTTTGGGACAATGTTTAAACTCTAGCTTCTGTGGCAAGTTGTCATTTAATTATCCTGTAACCTAGGTTGCATCATGTATAAACGTGAAAATTTCTATGAATCTTTGATTCTCTTTACCATGGATGGCATAGGAGGCAAGGGGGTCAAGGAGAAGATCTCTGGATTGGGCCTCTGGTGATAGAGTGCCCAGGAGGTTTAGGATTTCAGAGTGGGCTTGAGTTTCTGGATGGATAATGGAATTTCAGAGATTGTCTCAGTTTAGGCTTAGGGGCCCTCAGAGCTAGTGTGAATCTGGGGATCTTTCTTTCTCTCCAGGATGAAGATGGGAAAGGATTGTCAGATGAAGATATCTGAGCTGAAGCTGACACCTTCATGTTTTAGGGTGAGGGTCCCAGTGTGGGACTACAGAGGGAATCATGGGATCCTCCATAGCAGAAACTAGGTGTGTGGACCCTGAACTATCCCCCATGCCTCTCCATCCTCCCCATGGTCCTTTCTGTTAAGGTGCTGTCCACCCTCTGGTGCTGAAGTAGCCCAGTGACCCAAACGTGTCTGGCTACCCCTCAGGCCATGACACCATAGCCAGTGGTCTCTCCTGAATCCTGTACAACTTTGAAAAGTGCCCAGGAAATCAGGAGCGCTGCTGGCAGGAGGTACAAGAGCTCCTGAAGGGCCGTGAGCCCAAAGAGACTGAATGGTGAATGCAAGTCCTCATGGCACTTTTCTGAGTCCCTCTCACTGGCTCTGTTTCCTGGCTGGGGAAGAGAAAAAATCTTTTTGTGGACTCTGTTATTATTTCTTAGTGGGAAGACCCAGAGAAAAGGTCTGGTGCACAGCAGGTATAGTAGGAGGAAGTTTGCAGGCTTTTGAGACAGAAAGACTTGGATTTCTGAGATAATCAGTGACAATGTGTGAGGGTAGATGATACCACTTAGCACATATTCAGTAAGTGAAATTTCCCTCTACTCTCTTACTTTTCTCTCTGAAATTACATAGTTTCCAACATCTTCACTCCCTGAGTGTTTCCTCACATCCTGCTCCTTAATTCCTCATACTATTTAGTCCAGGATTCACATGGAACTCTTAGGAACTAAAGTCATTCAACACCTGTCCAGGTATACCTGCATCTTCCTCCATCCAGTCCCCATTCAACAAACACTGGAACACTTCTTCCCTCTTCTCAGTTCTATGACACCTCCAATTCTTCTCAGCCATACTGTGTTTCAGAGACTCAGAAAGAACCTAGACCCGGCCTTTGCCTTCCTAGTCTCATGGAAGAATAGTCAAGAAACTCCCTGTATACATGGGCAGAGCTACAGTTTAGAGTAAGATAGACAAAGTAGAAGGTGGAAAAAAGTGCCTCATCTCAGACCCTGAAAGTTGATCAGTAGAGAGGTGGTGCATTTGAGGTAAGGTCAACAAGGTAGCTGGTCAAAAATGAAGAGACGGAGGCAGAGGGGGAGAGAGGGGGAGAGAGAAAGGAGGAAAGGAGGGGGTTGATATATGATTGACTTGTGGAGCATAGATTACATCATAATATTAACACACTGTCCCAGAGTGTGGAGCAGATATCCAATTCTGGATATTAAAATAATACTTGGTCTTTTAGTAGAGTCTACAATTCTAGCATAGAGATCTTGAGCAGCTTTTGCTAAATAAACCCTTAGGTACTCTTGTTGCTATGGTGAATATAGTCTATCTGGATTGAGAAACATTTACAAGTTCATTTTGAATACAGACATTCACATTTCTTGTTAAATTTAATCCACATATTTTATATCATTGTCTTTTCTATTTTTTCTAATAGAAAAATTAATAATTTATGGATATCAATTTCTTGCTCAGTGAACTTAGTAACTGCTAAATATGGAGTCCCATATCAGTAGGAAAAATAAAGATCATCTTAATAATAAAAACTTTTGAAACAACAGGGAAACTACATGGAAAAAATAGTTAATTTAACCTGATGCTCATGTCTGGCAAGAAAATAACCTCTACATGAATCAAAGACTTAAAACATATAAGGGAGTCTTTCCTCCCATAGAGGAAACTATGGGAAGTTATATTACAGCTCCACAGTAAGAAGGCTGTATCGTGACATAAATCCCAGAGGGTGTACAATAAGACACTGATATGCTATTACATGAAATAGATACAGAGCAGTAGGTATAGTACAAAGTATACTATTATATAATTTTTAATGAAACAAAACCTTTGATATGTACAATGGAGCATTACTCAGCCATTAAAAAGAGTGGAAAATGCCATTTGCAGCCACATGGATGAAGCTAGAAATTGTCATACTGAGTGAAGTAACAGAAAGAGAAATATATGACATCCTTTATATGTGGATCTAAAAAGAAATTATACAAGTGAATTTAATCACAAAACAAAAACAGACCCACAGACTTAAAGGATGGACTTATGGTTGCTGAGGGGAAGGATGGGGGAAAAGGACAGTCAGGGAGCTTGAGATGGGCCTGTATACACTACCACATTTAAAATGGATAATACACAAGGACCTACTGGACAGCACATGGAACCCGCCTCAATGTCATGTGGCAGCCTGGATGGGAGGGGAATTTGGGGGAGAACTGGTGCATGAATATGTATGGCTGAATCCCTTTGCTGTTCACCTGAAACCATCACAACATTGTTCATGGCTGTGAGCAATACAAAATAAATACAAAATTAAAAGTTTTTTTAAAAAAAATGCCTCTAGGATGATACATAAAAATAGCCACTAGGAAAACTGAGGAGAAATGAGTGCTGTTGGGCCATAGGGGTGATGGTTGCATTGTTCCAACTTTGAACTATGTTAACTGTATCATCTATTAAGAATTTAAATCATAAAAAAAAAGAATTTAAATCACCACACAAAAAGAAAGAATTTTTTAAAAAAAGAATTCAGCTCCATTACTGGACCTTACCTTCAATGTTTATGAAAGTTTTCCAGTGGTTTCTCTTCTTTTCTAAGTATAACATCACTATGTGCAAAAAATGATACATTTTCCCCCATGTTTCAAATGGTATTACTCTTTTTCCCATGTCTAATTGCATTAGCTAATATATCTAGTGCCCTAACAAATAAGAGTAAATATTGAATTTGCTTTTTTTGTTTCTTATGCATTGCCTTTTGATTTTGCAGACTTGCCACAAAGAAAGTTTGGATTTTATACAATTTCATAAATATGTTTATTGTTGGCTTTTTGTAGTTTTTCTCAGAAAGGCTTCTAAAAATATGTGAGTAAATTTTGTCTGGTACTTCTGTGGCACTATTTTTTTTCAAGAATCATTTTATTGAAGTGTGATAGACAAAGAAAAGCTGTCCATATTTAATGTATACAGCATAATGAGTTTGGAGCTATTTGATCCATCTGTGATTTTATTATAGGCAGAGGGGATCTTTTTTTTTTTTTTTTTTGGCAGAGGGGATCTTATAGCATAGTAGGAGGGTTGGAGGGTCTCTGTTTTTGCTCCCTGGATGTCATATGGTTTCCTTAGGGATGACCTTGCCCAGTTGCCCTTCCTGACCATGTGCATCAAGGACAGTCTGCAACTGCATCCCCCAGTCATTGTCATCTCCTGCTGCTATACCCAGGACATTGTGCTTCCAGATGGCCAGGTCATCCCCAGAGGTACCCATAATGACTAGGGGAGGAGGTTCCTGGTGAGAAAGAGGGACTCATCAGCAGGTTGGACTTAGTCCTGACTGGCCCCTCTTCTTCCACAGGTGTTATCTGTTTCATCAATATTTTCAGGACCCACCATAACCCATCTGTGTGGCCAGACCCTGAGGTGCTGCCCCCCTCCCCTTGGGGGATGCAAGAAAGGGCAAAGAGTTCTGACTTGCATAGCAGACATCACCTCCCTCCATTATACACACATCTGCCTCTCTAAGGATGGACATTCTGAGAGATCCCAGACAGTAGCCCTGTCTTGTCTTATCCCCAGGTCTATGACTCCTGCTTTGAGCCAGAAAACACCAAAGGGAGGTCACCTCTGGCCTTTGGTCCCTTCTTTTCGGGGCCCAGGTGAGGGTAGTGGGCTTCTGAGGTAGGGATGAGGGGTTGGGTCTGGGATTTAGATTCCTGGCATAACTGTGGGGCAGAGGAATGGGGAAAACAAAGATAGAGTTCTGGCTCTCCCCCTTTCACTCCCCCGGACATAACGGGTAAGAGTCTGGGAATGGCCGTGGGCCCAAAGAGAGTGTGTGGTGTGCTGAGAGCCCCATTTCCTTCTGCTGGTCTGAGTTCAGAACTGGAGCAGGGGCCAGGTTCAGGGAATATTTAAGCCCACGGAGGGATCCCAGGCACAATTAGCCTCTACCTTTGCTATCATGGGTGGGGGTTGCAGGCCAGATTCCGGGTGCAATGAGGCCGGAATGATGGTGCAGTCAGAGCCCCCACTCTTACCCACAGGAACTGCATCGGGCAGACACTCGCCATGACTGAGATGAGGGTGGTCCTGGTGCTCACCCTGCTGTGCTTCCACGTGCTGCCAGACGAGGAGTCACTCAGGAAGCCAGAGCTGATCATGCCTGCTGAGGGTGGACTTTGGCTGCGGGTGGAGCCGCTGAGCACAAGTCAGTGGTGACCCACCATCTTCTGGCCTGGTATCCAACAAAGGATATAGGGAGACCAATATTTTTCATTGAGCATCTTATTTTCTACCTGAGTGAATGAATTCCCTGTCAAAAATATTAAATTTAAAAATTTAAGACACCACTCATCAAAGAGTCTCATCTTGTAAGCCTGCACATGTTCTCCAGGTAATATGACACAACTGGGGCTAAGACACACACTAAAAATCACTTCACTTCCTTAGAAGGTTAGGCATGACCACTGAAGCCAAGCTGGTAAAATTTACCCCCATTCCACCACTCATCAATCGACTGACCTTGAACAAGTGAGTTAATTTCTCCAATCCATAGACTGGTGTGAGGATGAAATCAGTGTTTACCTGGGGGAACTGAAGTGTCATCACCTTCTTCCTTCCAGTGGTCTACCTCTGTTAATACGCCCAAAAACATCAGTGTTCGTAGAGTTATCAAGCCCTATGTATTGCATAAAAAGTGTTTAATCACACCCACATAAATGTATGTGTATCTATTGCTAAAAAATAAAATTTCTACACTCAAAATTATGTGACTAAGAGTAACTCAATATGTAATTGGTAGTGATATTTCAAGTCATCAAGGTGCATAAAAGGAATCCTTATAAAGTGAGACAAACTAAATTATTTTCTAACATAATGCCATTTACAAAAATAAACAGTGGCTTGAACACGTAACACTTAAAGATTCTAAAGACCCCCAAGATGATGACTGTATGTTGTGGAAGGATGTTCACAATATTTTTTATATGAAAAATCCAGATTAACAAGAGAAATGTATGGTAAAATAGCATTTTTTTCTTGTGGCAAAATTCACACAGCATAAAATTTACCATTGTGACCATTATAAAGTGTTCGAGTCCATGCATCTAGTACATTCACAACGTTGTGCAGTCAACAATTCTACTAGTTCCAAGATATTTTCATCATCTGAAAGAGAAACTTTATACCTAGAAGCAGTCACTCTCCATTTTCTCCTCCACCCTCCAGCTCTATCTATCTATCTCTACAGATTTACCCATTCTTCACCTTTCATATACATGGAATTATACAACAGATGACATTTTGTATCCAGTTCCTGTCACTTAGCATAATGTTTTCAAAGTTCATTCATGTTGTAGCATGTATCAGTGCTTTATTCCTTTTTATGACCCAATAATATTCCTTGTTGTGGATATACCTCATTTTATTTATTCATTCATCTGTTAATGGATACTTGAGTTGTTTCCCAAATATCCAACTTTTGCCAATTGTGGATAGTGCCACTACAGAGTCATGTAGAAGTTTCTTGTTTGAACACATATTTTCAAGTCTTTGTGCATACCTAGGCATGAGATGGCTGAATCATATGATATTTGTAGGTTTAATTTACTGAGGAAATACCAGGCTGTTTTCCACAGTGGTTGCATCATTTTACATTCCCAGCAACAACGGACGAGGATTGCAATTACCCCACATCTTCACCAACACTTGTCCTCCATTTTTTTATATTCTTACCATCCTATTAGGACTTGCCTGGTAGCTCAGATAGTAAAGAATCTGCCTGCAAAGCAGGAGACCCCAGTTCGATCCCTGGACCAGGAAGATCCTCTGGGAAAGGTTATGGCAACCCACTCCAGTGTTCTTGCCTGGAAAATTCCATGAACAGAGGTTACAGACCATGGGGTCACAAAGAGTCAGACATGACTGAGTGACTAACGCTTTTACTTTCACCATTCTATTGGGTGTGAAGTGGTATCCCATTGTAGCATTGACTTGCATTTCCCTAATGAATAATGATGTTTAACATATTTCCATGTGCTTGTTAGTCAGTAAAATAGCATTTTAAAAGGATATTACATGTAAATGTAATACACTTATATGTAAAAGCAAATTTTGCTTGTATAATTATTACATATAAAACTAAATTTGGCAGTATATGTGAAAGAATATAAACGGTTATTACTTTGACATGTTTGAATTATAGATAAAATTTTTAATTCTTATTTTTTATTTTCTTCAAGGACAAGGTATCATTTGGGGGAAAAGAAAAACATTTTAAGTAAGAACTCCGAAGGCAAAGAAAAATGTATGCAATTTTCAGCTTAGAATATATTAAATATTTACTCATTCCATGTTACAGGATTTCTTTCTTATTTTGCCACCAGTAAGTCATCTGGTCCCTGAAAGACTCTTGAGAGTAGGACTCTATCCCAGAAACCCCTGCAGCCTCAAGTGGGGCAAATCTGGGGCAGCCACTGTCCCATGTGCTGAATCAAGTGGCCCCACTCCTGCCCCCTCCACCTCCTCTTATTATTGAGGACCCTCTTGATCTCCATTTCCTAGAACATTTAGGTGAAAATGAAGTCCTGGGTCATACCTCTTAGAGGGAAAAAAGTTTTTTTTTGGTTCCTAGCTTCAGACCAGCTTAACCTCAGAGCCCCTTGGAATTAGACTTTGAATTTACTGCATCTTTTAGTGACAGTTTTCTTCAGCAGTATTTCCACATGTCTCAAATCTTAAATATACCTTTTATTACTTTAAAACACTTTGAATTTGAGAAAGTGATGCAAAAAGAAGAGAGGAAATGAACCCTTATTGAGCACTGATGTTTACCGAATATTGTCAGTCATTTCACACATACTCGCTTACAAATCTCCACAACATTGCAATTAAGAGGCTATTATTATGTAATGAGTGAGGTCGCTGGATGGCACCACCGACTCAATGGACATGGGACTGGGTGGACTCCGGGAGTTGGTGATGGACAGGGAGGCCTGGCGTGCTGCGGTTCATGGGGTCGCAGAGTCTAACAGGACTGAGCGGCTGAACCGAACTGAACTGAACTGAACTATTATGTAATAAAGGAAAAGAAACGATTTTCCCCAAACCAAACAACTAGTAAATAGCAGACTAGGACGGCGACTTCCGCAGTGGGAGAGTGGTGGATCAGTGGGTCATCTGACCCTGATTGCATCTATCTCTCTGCTCCACACTTCGCTAAAGAGTAGTCTTGTCCTCATGATCCAAGATGGAGCTCCAGGTATCATACCGCCGCCAAGCCCCTCCCTCACCTTCCGTCCTGCCTCCCACGTTCACAGCCAAGCCCACCCGCCTGGGTTCTCCCAGGGCCCAAGCGCCCCCTGCTGGCTCTTGATGAGACTGGGACAGACTTAACAGCACAGTTTTATTCCTGGGAATCTGCAGTGAGGTGTCTGTGGTCAGGGTGAACCCCAGGATAGAAGGCGGCGGGTCATTACTGGCCGGTGTTCAGTGGCTCCACCAGCAGCCAAAGTCCGCCCTCCGCGCGCAGGATCAGCTCTGGCTTCCGGCGTGGCTCCTCCTCATCCGGCAGGACGCGGAACCGCAGTAGCGTGAGCGCCAGCGCCACCTTCATCTCGTTCATGGCAAACGTCTGCCCGATGCAGTTCCTATAGGCATAAGTGAGGGCTCCGACTGTGCTGGGAAACCCTATCATGTTCCATCGTGCCCAGAAACTAACTGGGACACCCCTCCCCTCTGCAGGGATGGACAGAGAGGCTAACGGTGTCTGAGACACTCCCTCCACGTGGGCTTGCATGTTCCCTGAGCCCCAGCACCATCCTCAAACCATCCCCACCTCACACACCAGCTGGCCTTACCTGGGCCCTGCCGAAAAGGGAATGAAAGCCAGAGGTGATCTCTTCTGGGGAGCTTCTGGATCAAAGCGGAAGGGATTGAATACCTGGAGGGCAGAGAGAGGCAGGGCTACTGGGTAGGACATCTCAGGATACCTGGACACACCCAAATGTGAATAGAGTGGAGGAGTGTCTGATTTTCCCAGCAGAAGGCAGCACCTCAGGGTCTGGCCAGACCGATGGGTTGTGATGAATCCCGAAGATGCTGATGACACAGATGTTCCCTATTACAGAGGAGAGAGTGGTCAGGTCAAGGTCTCAGCTGATGGGACCACCAGCCTCCCTCACCCCCATTGTTTTGAGCACCTTTGGGGATGACTCGGCCGTCTGGGAGCACTACATCTTGGGTACAGCGGCGGGAGATGACCGCAACAGGGGGATGCAAACGCAGACTCTCCTTGATGCACATGGTCAGGAAGGGCAACTGGGCCAGGTCGTCCCTAAGGAACCCCCAGACAGTTATCCCGGGAGTAAAAACAGAGACACACCCCCAGCCCTCTTACTGCCCTAAAGACCCTCTTTTCACCTCCCTCTGACTCTCACGGGGCTTCCCTGATAGCTCAGATGGTAAAGTGTCTGCCTACAATGCAGGAGACCTGGGTTCGATCCCTGGGTCTGGAAGAACCCCTGGAGAAGGAAATGGCAACCCACTCCAGTATTCTTGCCTGGAAAATCCCTTGGACTGAGGTTCCTGGTAGGCTACAGTCCATGGGGTCGCAAAGAGTCGGACACGACTGAGCGAATTCACTTTCATTTTTCTGACTCTCACTGCTATAACAAAATTAATTCCAGATGAACCAAAGTTTTAAGAATTAGCATATCAATATCTCAAGTTACTATTAATAGAAGAAAACAGCCTGGTATTTTTAGAAGAATTTCTGAGCAAAACACAACACTCCCAACATACTCTTTAAAGTGTTAACGCTTTACAGTGTTAATAATTTAAAGCTTTTTGAATTAGCTTACAATGCAAAAAAAGTCTCTATAATGGACATATAAGTTTATTTCAGTAAGTTCTACTCCACACTGTACAGTGAGACAACCTAATATTATTAAGGTGTCAATTCTTTCTAAATTAATCAGTATATTCAATGTAATTAAGTAAAAATCTAGTTGGCTGGGGGGGGCGGGACTTGGTACTCTTCAAGTTGAAAGAATTGGAGTTCTTCAAAGCTAGGTCAGTTTGAAAACAGAAGATCGATATGGGATCTAGGGGGCTTCCCAAGTGGCGCTAGTGATAAAGAACCCTCCTGCCAATGCAGGAGACATAAGAGACTCTGGTTCGATCCCTGGGTCTGGAAGATCGTCTGGAGGAGGGCATGGAAA